CCTGGCTTCTATTTTTATAAGGCCCTAGTCAGAAACAAATGAAGTATACCAGCAGTGTTCTGATTAGCACTGATTTCAGAATTGCTACTTATTAGCCGTCTGATATCATTGTCTTACTATTAGTCACCATCAGTTAGATCTTCATTACTCATCTTGAGGTTTGAAGTAAACCATCAGTTTGTACTTTTTTTTGTCGGTCATGGGGCTTGAACTCTGGGCCTGGGCACTGTCCATCAGCTCTTCAGCTCAAGACTGGTGCTCTACCACTTGAGCCACAGCATCACTTCTGGTTTTCTGAGTGGTTTATTGGAGTCTCATGTACTTTCCTGCCTGGGCTGGCTTTGAACCGTGATCCTGAGATCTCAGCCTCCTGAGTAGCTAGGATTACAGGCGTGAGCCACAACTGGCGCCCAGCCTCAGTTTGTACTTTTGGTAACAACAGTAGCTGAATTTCTCTGGTGCATATAAAGTGGTTGAAAAAAATAACTGATTTGATCTTAGAAAACTTGAGACTAAAAATTCTGTATTAAAAGGTGTGTTTTGTTTTGTGGTACTAAGCCTCAAACCTGGGGCCCTTGTATGCTAACTACATATGAGCTCTAAGCGATACCTCTAGCAAAAAAGTTGTTTTTTTTTTTAAAAAGAGTAACTTCTTTAGATTTTTTTTTCTTTTTTCTTTTCTTTTTTGTTGTTGTTGGTCATGGAGCTTGAACTCGGCCTGGGAGCTGTCCCTGATCTCTTCAACTCTACCGCTTGAGCCACAGCGCCATGGACTTTCCTGTCCAGGCTGGCTTTCAACTGCAGTGCTCAGATGTCAGCCTCCTGAGTAGCTATGATTACAGGTGTGAACCACTGGTGCCCGACTTCTTTAGATCATTTCTTTGAGTCATTTCCTAACATAATTATATAGTGTATGGGGGAAAACATCTGAATACCACACTGGCATAGGGCAGGGTGAAAGGACACAGATGAAGAGTTGTGCTTTTTTTTTAAATGAATAATCTAGACAGTTGCCCTATAGTCTTTAATAATTCAGTGGAACTGTCTATATGCCATTGAACTATAATTTATATGAAGGATAGTATGTGTTCTATTATTAGCTACTTCACAACAGCTGTGTATATGCCTAAACACTGTTGGGTTCTCACAACTTAATATAGAAAGTTGAGAAAGATCATATCAATGTATTAGAAATGTCTATGAATCCATGAAAGACAAAGTTGTGGGATGCAATTTAAAAACAACCGTAATGCAGAGCATGTGCATGTATTTGAAAGCTAGAAGCTATTTCTTGCTCTGAGTTGGTACTAGAAAGAACTTCAAAGAGTCCTTTGACAACTGTGAATATTGCTTTCTTCATTTCTAGTGAGGATTTTCCTCCTTTACAGCAATATCTTATACATGACTGCTGATATCAGCAGAAAAGGGAAATCCTATTACCAGAAGACAAACTACTGGTACATTTGCTACCAATGTAAGTTAGTTTTTTTCCATAATTAATGGAGTCAGAAACCATAATAAACCAAAATATTACCTACATACAATGAAAAATTTCAAAGGCAGAGATGAGCTTCTAAGTAAAGCATTTGAGGAAAGATAACCACATAGATGATCATGCTTTTGTGTTATAGACTATGTAACAAAGAATCAATTGGAGATAAAATAACCCTCATAGCAAAGAAAATAAAAACCCCCATAGGGCTTGAAAGGAGGAGAGATGAGATGAATACATGGATAAAAGTAAGGTAGAAGACTTGAAGCAAAGTGAAACTTCTCACATTTTTCTCTCATAATACACGTATCTAACACAAAATGAATAGGGGTATGTGTGTGTGTGTGTGTGTAACTTACAGGCCAACAGAAAAGAAAAACCAAGGGTGGGTGTGTGTGTGTGTGTGTGTGTGTGTGTGTAACTTACAGGCCAACAGAAAAGAAAAGCCAAGTACAAATTCCAATGAAAATCTCAAGAATATTTAAGTGGATTCTAAAACTTAGTATAGAGGAAAAAAGTTTTTTTAACATTTAAAAATAATTTGGACAGTGAGAAAGATGTTGACTCACCAGATATTAAAGTACCCCATACTAGAGTAATTAAAACTGGTGTTTAGCCAAAAAAGATTCTCAGGAATGATGGTGTACATAGTAATTTAGTAAAAATGCAGACTATCAATTACAATGAAACAAAAAGATTTTGTGAAGTTAGAGAAAAAACATTTTCATAGTTGTCAGCTTATTTCTGTTGCTTAAACAAATAGCTTATATTAACAATTTACAAAACATTTTTCAGCTCTAGGGGCTGGGAGGACTCTGAAAGGCTGGAAGATCAAGATACTGAAACAGGTTCATCGTCTGCTTTTCAGATAGTGCCTAATTATTACTTATATCTTCACTGTGTGTCTAAATGCTAAAAGGGTTAAAAAGTGGCCTGGCCAGATCTTCTGTAAGACACTTCCCTAATCACTTCCTAAACATTCTATCTCTTAATAGTTTAGTATTGGAGATTAGGTTTCCGTATGAATTTAGGAAAAGATATAGCATTGAAAACATAGTGATAATTGTGATGCTTAGATGGCTCTACAAGGCAGAAAATGCCTATCTATATCAAAAAAAGCCTACCCAAAGTATAAAAGAAACATACTAGCTATAAAGATGTAAAAAATTAATAATGCTTGCAAAGTTATAAAGGTTTGTTTTGAAACATCATTTTAGGTCTATTGTAGCTTATTTTTTTCTTTTCTGGTGTATATTAAAATATATAACAAAGCTGGGCGCCAGTGGCTCATGCTTGTAATCCTAGCTATTCAGGAAGCTGAGATCTGAGGATCACAGTGCAAAGCCAGCCTGAGCAGGAAAGTCTGTGAAACTCTTTAATTAACCACCAGAAAACTGGAAGTGGCACTGTGGCTCAAGTGGTAGAGTGCTAGCCTTGAGCTGAAGAGCTGAGGGACAGTGCCCAGGCCCAAAGTTCAGGCCTGGCCCTATGACAAAAAAAAAAAAATGTATAAGTATAATAAAATAATATTTACTATTTAACCATAGCATGCAATTCATTGCCATTAGCTACATTTAGAAGGTTGAATAGCCATCACTACCACTTCTGAACTTACTCAAAATCATCTTCCCCAGTAATATTTCCTGTCTGTAATAGATTTCTGTCTGTTCTAATACCTGATAGTATTTGTCTTTCATTTCTAGCTTATTTCATTTAATACAATTTCAAGATTCACTCAGGCTATATCCTAAATCCAAGTTTTGGTCCTTTTTAGGCTAAATAATATTCCATTCTTTGTCTGTTTGGTGATGAACATTTGGGTTGTTTCTACCTCTTGATTTTTTGAATAATGTTGCTGTGATTATTATAGGTACCTTTGAATTACTGCCTTCGGTTCTTTGGAACATACTCTAAGAAATGGAATTGTTGAGGTTCATAGTTATTTAATGTTATCTTTTGAATAACCACCATATAGTTTTCCAAAGGATCTGCATCATTTTGCATTCCTGAAAGCAGTCTGCCTGGTTTCCAATTTGTCCATATCCTTACCACATTATTTTTTAGTTTTTGTTCTTTTTTTTTGGCCAGTTCTGGTGTTTGAACTCAGGGCCTGGGCAGTGTCCCTGAGCTTTGCTCAAGGCTAGCAATCTACCACTTGAGTCATAGTGCCATTTCCAGCTTTTTCTGTGTATGTGGTACTAAGGAATTGAACCCAGCGCTTCATACATGCTAGGGGAACACTCTACCACTGAGCCATATTCCCAGCCTTAGCCTTTGTTTTTTTTTTTAACATTGACTCATATACATGTATCATATCTCACTTTGGGTTATGAAAGTTAATCTCAACAAATGTGTGTGTGCATGTGTGAGTGTGTGCATGTGTGAGCTGGGGCTTGAAATTGGAGTCTTTGCACTGTCCCTCAGCTTTCTCTGCTTAAAGCTAATTCTTTAGCTTCTGGCTTTGTGGTGGTTACTTGAAGATAAGAATCTCATGGGGAAAATTTTTTCATGGACTTTTCCTACCCAGGATAGCTTTGAACTGCCATCCTCAGTTCTGTTTCTTGAGTAGATAGAATTAAAAGCATGAGTCATCAACATTCAGCTCTGCCCAAACCCTTTAAATATAATAAAATCATGCCAGTCAACTGTATTCCTGAATCTTTAGAGAAAAGCCTGTGTTGGGGCTGGGAAGGTGGCTCAGTGGTAGAGCGCTTGCCTGGCATGCATGAGGCACTGGGTTCGATTCCTCAGCACCACATAAGCAGGGGGGAAAAAGCCGGAAGTGTCGATGTGGCTCAACCGGTAGAGCACTAGCCTTGAGCTGAAGAACTGAAGGACAGCACCCAGGCCCAGAGGTCAGGCCCCATGACCGGACACCCCCCCCCAAAAAAAAAAAAAAAGAAAGAAAGAAAATCCTGTGTTGTTACTAATCTGTTACACACATAGTTTGTACCTAAATCCAGCATGCTTTAAAAGACTTAGATTAAGAAAGTTGTTGCTACTGGGCACCGGTGGCTCACATCTGTAATCCTAGTGACTCAGGAGGCTGAGATCTGAGGATCATGGTTCAAAGCCAGCCCGGGCAGGAAAATCCAGAAAAGTCAGTGAGACTCTTACCTCCAATTAACCAACAGAAAACCAGAAGTGGTACATGGTTCAAATGATAGAGTGCTCACCTTGAGCTGAAGAGCTGAGGGACAGCACCCAGACCCAGAGTTCAAGCCCTATGACGGGACAAAAAAAAAAAAAAGCTGTTGCTTTTCTAATACCTGGTTTATTGGAGGGAAAACACAATGAAAGCTGTAGTTGCTTATACTGTGACTTAAAAAATAATTATTTGACATATAAAACCAATTTGTTATCATTATGTCAGTATAAATGATAAATACATGTTAACAATTTCATTAAAAATTTAATCTATTGCACTAAATGATTGATAACCTCATTGTGTGTTTGTGTATGTTACATATAGGTATATATGATATGTTTTGCATTTGTTTTCTCTAAGGTGCAAGAATTGTTCATTCATGATTATGGAGAGGTTTTTAATGTCCAGTTACCAGGTAAAGAAGAACGAACAAAGTTTTTTGAAGATTTAATTCTCAAACAAGCTGCCAAACCTCCTATATCGAAAAAGAAAGCAGGTTAGTCACCTGTGTAAAAGTTAACAATGTGTGTGTCATGTGCATGCACACATATATATGCCCATTCTTGAACTTTGGGCCTGGGGGCTGTTGCTGAGCTTTCTTTTTTATATTTTTTTCATGATCATGGGGCTTAAACTCAGGGCTGGGGACACTGTCTCTGAGCTTTTGTGCTGAAGACTAGTAGTTTACCACTTCGAGTTACAGTGACAATGGAGTTTTCTGGTGGCTAATTGAAGGTAAGTGTTTCAAGGACTTTGCTGCCTGGGCTGGCTTTGAACCATGATCCTCAGATCTCAGCCTCCTGAGTAGCTAGGATTACAGGTGTGAGCCAGCAGTGCCTGGCTGTGTGTGTGTGTCTGTGTGTCCTGGGGCTTTAACTAGGGCCTGAGCACTGTCCCTGAGTTGCTTTTACTCAAAGATAGCAATCTACCACTTGAGCCACCATCCCACTTCTGCCAAGTCTCATGGTCATGAATAGGGACTTTTCTACCCAGGCTGGCTTCAAACCTTGATTCTCAGATCTCAGCCTCCTCAGTAGCTAGGATTAGGCGTGAGCCATGGAGTCTAACTTTGCTGAGCGTTTTTGCTCAAAGCTAGCACTTTACCACTTGAGCCACAGCTCCACTTCCAGCTTTTTGGTGGTAAATTGGAGATAAGAATCTCAAGGACTTTCCTGCCTGGGCTGGCTTTGAACCATAATCCTTAAATCTCAGCCTCTTAAATAACTGGAATTACAGGCATGAGCAACCAGTACCCAGCCCATAATAGTGAGATTAGGATATCCAATATCACAAGCTCAAAATTTCAGTAATGTGGTGATCTACCAGCTGCTTTAAAACAGCCATTTTTCGCCAGGTGCCAGTGGCTCATGCCTACAATCCTAGATACTGAGAATTGTGGTTCAAAGCCAGCCCGGGCAGGAAAGTCTATGAGACTCTTAGTTGAGGTACAGCACCCAGGTCTAGAGTTCAAGTCCCACGACCAGCCGGAAAAAAAAATGAATTTTTCCTGTTAAAATGAATTGAAGTTCTTTTTCATTTTTAAATATGTATATATTTTTTAATTTTTATTTTTTTGTTGGTCGTGGGGTTTGAACTCTGGGTGTAGGCGCTATCCCAGTTTACGAGTTTATCTTGATCAGTGTCATGTTCATGTTCTTTTGGGGGGGAGGGTCTGGTCATGGGGCCTGAACTTGGCCTGGGCACTGTCCCTCAGCTCTTCAGCTCAAGGCTAGCGCTCTACCACTTGAGCCACAGCACCACTTCTGGCTTTTTTCTTTTTGCTTATGTGGTGCTGAGGAATCAAACCCAGGGCCTCATGCATGCAAGGCAAGCACTCTACCACTGAGCCACCTTCCCAGCCCATGTTTATATTCTTGATAATGGCTATTCTTAATGAGATAAGATGAAATTTCAGCATTTTAAAATTTGCATTTCCTTGGGGCTGGGATCTCAGCCACCTGAGTGACTAGGATTACAGGCATGAGACACCTGTCTAGCTTCTCCTTCATTTTTGTGTAAAGTTCTGCTTAACTTTTTCATACCCCTAGTCTTTTTGTTTGTTTTTATTTTTATTTTTGTCAGTTGTGGGGCTTGAACTCAGCATGGGCACTGTTGCTGGGCCCTTCATCTCAAGGGTAGCACTCTACCACTTGAGCCAGTGTCACTTCCAGTTTTCTAGTGGTTTATTGGAGATAAGAGTCTCACAGACTTTCCTGTCCTGGTGATCCTCCAGTCTCAGCCTACTGAGTAGCTAGGATTACAAGTATGAGCCACCAACACCCAGCCCCTAGTCTTGAAAACGATGTATTTAATGTCTCTTAGAACTCCCTTAATAAATTGTCACCTTCTTGGTAAAGATCTTTTATCCTTTTAAACTCAGAGTACTCAGTATATCTGTTTAAAGAAAATTAAACTTTTATTTGAAATTTATCACTAGTTCAAGAACCAGTAAATAACTACTTTTTTGTAGTTATAATATTCTTAGATAAAACTAAAGGAAGGTTTTATGGAGTTGAAGGCGTGGTTCAAGCCCCATGTTTGCTGCAAACCACCCCCCCCCCCAAAAAAAAAAAAGTACCAGAGGTATAATGACTTTCAGGGATTGGCATTCTAATTTATCAGTTATTATTTCTGGAAAGTATTTAATGGTTTAAAAAAAACTGGTACTTTTACAGTCTTAAATTCTTGAATTCCTAGGAAAGGGGTAACAATATAATTCTAGCTATTCAGGAGGCTGAGATCTGAGGATTGCTGTTCAGAGCCAGTCCAGGCAGGAAAGTTCATGAGACTCTTATCTCCAGTTAACCACTAGAAAACTGGAAGTGGTGCTGTGGTAGAGCCTTGAGCTGAAGAGAGCAGGGACAGTGCCCAGGCCCAGAGTTCAAGCCCCACTACCAACCAAAAATAAATAAAATTCTTGAATTCCTGGCAGATACAAAAGCTTGCCAGGATTTGTAATAAATATTTGTCACTATCAAAATGATGGAGAGGTAGTAACTAAAAATCTTTATGTAGTTTTGCAGGCCTTAGAGGTACTCCCAGTAGCACCACCACCTGAGCCAAAACCATTGACTGAAGAAGAAGTAAAACGACTGGAAGAACAAGAAGAAGATACATTTAGAGAATTGAGGATTTTCTTAAGAAATGTCACACACAGGCTTGCTATTGACAAAAGATTCCGAGTGTTTACTAAGCCTGTTGACCCCGACGAGGTATTAATTTAATCATTGGCATATGTGTTTTCTAAACCATAATGCTTCAAAATCAGAATATTTGAATAGTTTATACTATAAACTAAACTTGTGGTTTTTGTATGGAAAATTTGTATTGAATTAGTGTTCTAGTAATGTCAAGACTTTAAGAGCTACTGAGTATTTTTTTTTTTTTCTGCCAAGGATAGGCAGTTAACTTTTTCTACCCAACCTGAACATTCTAAAAGCAAAGTTGAGAAAGTCTTAATGCCTCCTGCTAGTACTGTGACCTGCACAATTGGCATTTGGTCAGAGTCAGGGACTTGCAATATAGTACAGACTTTTCTGGAATATGCCATGGAGCTCAGGCTGACCTCTGACTAAGGATCCTCTTTGCCTCAGCTTTCTAGGTATTGAGAATATAGGCATGTGGCACAGTGCTTGATAGAAAGTCAGTTCTTATCTCTTAAGTTGACCATGATGGATGGATGGCACTTCAGTGAGGAAAAGCATTTTAAAAGATGTTAATGAAGAATGTAGCTACTCAAGGAAAGGAGTAAATATAAAACAAACTGATTTTGATAGAGCCTAAGGTTTTACATTAGTAGAATAGTCTTATCTCTATCCCTGCATAGAATGTTGCCTGGAAGAAACCCTAAGTGAAATTTTTGTATTGTTAATGTTAATTTAGTGATCTGGTCATTTGTTTGAATTTTAGGTTCCAGATTATGTCACTGTGATAAAGCAGCCAATGGACCTTTCATCTATGATTAGTAAAATTGATCTACACAAGTATCTGACTGTGAAAGATTATTTGAGAGATATTGATCTAATCTGTAGTAACGCTTTAGAATACAATCCAGATAGAGATCCTGGAGGTGAGCCTTAATGCATTTTGCTTCCGTGGCTGGTGTTTTTATATCAGGTGCTGTATTACAGGTAGATTATGTTCATCATGCCATTTAGTGCTCTCAGCTACTTTACCAAGGAAGGTGAAGTTTATAAAGATTAAAAACCTCACTCAGTCATACTGCCAAGAAAGGGTAAAGGCAGAATTTGAATGCAGTCTTTTCACTCACAACTTTTAAATTTTATCCTTAAAAGCATGTCCAAATTTGGAAGCTTCGTCTGTACTGTATAGTGACAATTATGTGATTCATTCTGCAGTGAGGCACAAGACCATTTGCTTACTAAGCATGTCAGTGCTCTTTTACAAAGTAGAAAGATAAACACTCTGTAATGAAACAGATTTTTAAAGATTTTCTTCGTTAAAACCATGGCTATTATTATTACAAAAGTAATACTGTAGAGCTGAATGTGCAACTCAGCATAGAGCACTTGTCTAGCAAATGGAAAGTTCTGAGTTCAAATTCCAATACACAAAAATTACATTGCATAAAACTTGCTAATACTAGTGATTTAAAAAAAAAACAACAGCCAGGTGCTAGTGGCTGATGTTTTTTAAGACTAGCTACTCAGGAGGCTAAGATCTGAGGATCACAGTTCAAAACTAGTCCAGGCAGGAAAGTTCATGAGACTTCTATCTCAATAAACTGTTCCCCTCCCCCACCCAAAAAAAAAAATCCAGAAGTGGAGCAGTAGTGGTAGAACGCTACATTGAGCAAAAGCAATTCAGCTCAGAGACAGCCTCCAGGCCCAGAGTAAAGGCCCCAGAACTGGAACCAATCTAAGTCTCATGTTATATTTTTTTCAAAGGTAGGAAACTGCAAAAATTAGTGATATCTTTCCAGATTTCTAGTTGTTGGTGCTTTTAAGTTAGATTGATTAGTATAAGGAACTACCAAGAGTTAAATAATTGGAAAGCTCACTGAGCTACACCTTTGTGTTTCTGATATTTCAAAGGGATTGAATAGGGTACACCACTAAAACTAAGTATATTAATATGTCACTTGATTCATAACCAGAGCATTAGACTTGTACCAAAAGTAGAACAACACAATTCTAGTAACTTTACTACTGTGGTAAAAACAAAAGGGAATTATAAGAAATCAGACTAGGGCCAGGCGCTGGTGGCTCACGCCTGTAATCCTAGCTACTCAGGAGGCTGAGATCTGAGGATCACGGTTCAAAGCCAGCCCGGGCAGGAGAGACCGTGAGACTCCTATCTCCAATAAACCACCAGAAAACCGGAAGTGGTGCTGTAGCTCAAGTGGTAGAGCGCTCGCCTTGAGCTGAAGAGCTGAGGGACAGCACCCAGGCCTAGAGTTCAAGCCCCACTACCGACAAAAAAAAAAGAAATTAGGGAGCTGGGAAGGTTGGCTCAGTGGTAGAATGCTTGCCTTGCATGCATGAGGCCCTGGGTTCGATTCCTCAGCACCACATAAGCAGAAAAAGCCAGAAGTGGTGCTATGCCTCAAGTGGTAGAGTGCTAGCCTTGAGCTGAAGAGCTGAGGGACAGCATCCAGGGTCAGAGTTCAGGCCCCACGACTTACAAAAAAAGAAAAAAGAAAGAAAAGAAATTAGATTATTAGCCCCACAAAGTTGAGATCATTTTTATAGGTAAATAATTGAGGGAGCATTAAGAATTACATTTGTTTATTCATTTCCCAGACCGCCTTATTAGGCATAGAGCCTGTGCTTTAAGAGATACAGCCTATGCAATAATTAAAGAAGAACTTGATGAAGACTTTGAGCAGCTTTGTGAAGAAATTCAGGAATCTAGAAAGAAAAGAGGTAGGAAAATAATTTGGCACTTGAAAAGTAGAATTCGTATGTAGTATATGGAATCCTTTTAAATCATTTATGTAAGTTTGAAATGTGGACATCCTTTTTGAAATCCTGTATGTTTATAAGGTTGTAGCTCCTCCAAGTATGCCCCATCTTACTACCATGTGATGCCAAAGCACAGTGCTCTCTCTACTGGGGACAAAAAGTCAGATCTGGAGCATAATGAAAAGCTAAAGACACCTAGTACTCCAGTTGCTTGCAGCACTCCTGGTAAGTACTCTTGAATAATTTTTTTTTTGGGGGGGGGTCCCGTGGTGGGGCCTGAACTCTGGGCCTGGGCGCTGTCCCTCAGCTCTTCAGTTCAAGGCTAGCACTCTACCACTTAAGCCACAGCGCCACTTCCAGCTTTTCTTTTTTGTTTATGTGGAGGAATCGAACCCAGGGCCTCAGGCATGCAAGGCAAGCACTCTACCACTGAGCCACCTTCCCAGCCCTTGAATAATTTTCATTTACAAAATCATAACCTTTATTCTCTTCTAATGCCAGTACTTTCTCCCTTTTTAAAAATTAATACCACTGATTTTGCTAATACTGAAACAGCTGTACATTCTTTTTTTTGGGGGGGGGGTCGAGTCATGAGGCCTGAACTCTGGGCCTGAGCATTGTCCCTCAGCTCTTCAGCTCAAGGCTAGTGCTCTACCACTTGAGCCACAGCACCACTTCTGGCTTTTTTCTTTTTTTTTTTTATGTGGTGCTGAGGAATCGAACCCAGGGCCTCAGGCATGCAAGGCAAGCGCTCTACCACTGAGCCAACTTCCCAGCCCAGCTGTACATTCTTGAAATCCCAAGTTTGTAACATACCTGTGCTTACCACCTGGTGCTCTGCCACCATAATATGTATATAATGTACCTTATGAATTCCAGTTTACCACCTGTGGATTGATTTTTTTACTAATTTTTATTTTCTATTAATCCTGGTGTGATTTCTGTTTTTAGACTAATTATTATTCTTAGTGATATTCACTGTTTTGAATATGCATGCTGTGTACCAATCAAAAGTTAAAACTAAATTTGTATATTACTTGTAAAATATTTTCCTCCACTTTTCCCTGTGTGTGTGTGTGTCTGTCTGTCTGTCTGTCTGTCTCTCTCTCTCTCTCTCTGATCCCATTCTGAATGTAATGCTACTGTAATGTTTGAGATTTGACTGGATTCCTTATTACCTACTTTGACTTAACTGTGAATAATCTAATGACCCTCTTTTCCAATATGTTTTGACAAGTACATTACCATTCAATGATACTATTTGTCCTTGTGTCATTCTTCCTCCTGCCTTGGAATTCAGGTCATCCTCATCATCTCATACTAACCTTTTGGTTCTGTATTTCAACCATACAAAACTGCTTGTGTTTTCTCAACCTCTTCATCTTCTTACTTTCAGCTTTTTTCTATAACTCTCTTAATAATTTAGAGTTTTGTTAGATATTCTTCTTTATCTTTTTTTTAATTTATTTAAAGCTCAGTCTAAGAGAAAAATTCACAGAAAGTCAAAGTGGCATGTAGGCACCAAAACAAAACGGAGGAGAATTTCACAGACAAAGGATGATAGCCAAAATGCTGCCAATGAGCAAATGGAGAGTGACACAGAGGAAATCCAAGATGTGAGTGCAGATCGTGAGCCTAGGAATACAGGGGAGTCTTCAGTAGAAGAAAATGAGAAGCAGCAAAATATCTCTGAAAACAAAAGTGACTTGGGAAATAATAGTCCAAGTACTTGTAATGATGAGAATGAACTTGAAGAATCTAGGAAAACTACAGCATCTACTGAATTGAGAAAAGATAAGATTGCTTGCAATGGAGATGCTGCTAGCTGTCAGATAATAGACATTTCTGAGGAAAATGAAGCAAAAGGTGAGTATGGTTTATTTTTATGTTGATGGTTTATTTTTAAAACACCAGTTTAAAAGTGCTGGTGGTTCTTTTTTTTTTTTTTTAAATAGGTTTACTTGTTTTGTCGGTCATGGGGCTTGAACTCTGGGCATGGGTGCTGTCCCTCAGCTCTTCAGCTCAAGGCAAGCACTCTACCACTTGAGCCACAGCATTTATTGGAGATAACAGTCTCAGAGTTTCCTACCCGGACTGGCTTTGAATTGTAATCCTCAGATCTCAGCCTCCTGAGTAGCTAGGATTCAGGTGTGAGTCACCAGCACCTGGCTTCTTTTGTTCTATTTTTTTTGTGCTGGTCCTGGGACTTGGAACTCAGGGTGCTGTCCCTGACCTTTTGTGCTCAAAGCCAGTGCTCTTATCATTGAGCTACAACTCCACTTCCAACTTCTTGCTCGTTAATCCGGGGTAAGAATCTCACGGACTTCCCTGCTTGGGTTGGCTTTCAGACCTTGATCCTCAGATCTCGGCCTTCAGAGTAACTGGGATTACAGGTGTGAGCCACCAGTATTGTACACCTCGCTGTAGAATAAATCTGTTAGTATTAACTGCTATGGTTCTGCTCCCACGTTTTCTATTTAGGATCATGTTCATCTGAACCTTTTTTTTTATTTTGTTTTAGATTTGTGGGAAAGATAAACATTTAGTCATATAAAGCAAGATTGGTAGGCTGGGAATGTGGCTTAGTGGTAGAGTGCACTTACCTAGCATGCATGAAGCCCTGGGTTCAATTCCTTAGTACTGTATAAACATAAAAGGCTGGAAGTGGCGTTGTGGCTCAAGTGTGTAAAGTGCTAGACTTGAGCAAAAGAAGCTCTGGAATAGTGCCCAGGCCATGAGTCCAAGCCCCAGGACTGCACAAAAAAAAAAGATTGGTAACAGGGTCAGAATCTTATTTGGATTACATAAAAGCATTGCCTAGTGCCAATGAAGTATTGACTAAGTTACTAAGATTGGGTTTTTTTTCGTGTTATATACACAGAAAAATTAAGTCTTTTGGAAGGACTTTTTTGAGTTGAATTTGGGGTAACGACAGATATAATGGACAAGGATATAGCCTTTTGAATGTGGATAGTATTTTATGTATCTGTCTGTCTAGTCGTTCTGGAGTTAAAACGGTTACAGAGTCGAAACATACTGAGCAAGATACCTAACCACAGCATGGGGATACTTCATATGTTAACCTTCAGTGTATAACTTCACATTTTGTTTGGAGGTCATAGTTTTGTGTTTCATATACCATTAGAGTCACTATTTAGAGGACCAAACTTATTGCATAGAGATCAGGAAATCTGAGTTGTTGTTTGAGCTCTTAAAACAATTAGTTTTATGGCCTTAGAAAAGACCTATACCCACTCTACATTTTTCTCATCTGTCAGTGAATAAATTGCTGTAGTTCAGGGATCAGACTTAAATAGCCTTAAATCAGGTAGCAGATACTTTCAGCTAGACAGAGGCCATATGGTGTCTGTGTTATAACAACTGAACCCTGCTTGGAAACTACATTAACAGAAAAATGGATCTCCCCATCCACCCCCGCCCCCGCAATGAGACTTCACTCAGAGCTGTGCTCTGTCATTTGAATCACACTTCCAGTTCCACTTTTTCTTTTTTTGGTGGGGGGTGTCTGGTCGTGGGGCCTGGGCGCTGTCCCTCAGCTCAAGGCTAGTGCTCTACCACTTGAGCCACAGCACCACTTCTGGCTTTTTTCTTTTTGCTTATGTGGTGCTGAGGAATCGAATCCAGGGCCTCAGGCATGCAAGGCAAGCACTCTACCACTGAGCCACCTTCTCAGCCCCTCCAGTTCCACTTTTTGCATATTTGTCTGCTCAGGCTAGCTTTGAACTGAGATTCTCAGCCTCCTGAGTAGGTAGGATTATAGTGTGACTCAGGAGTGCATTGTTCACCTATTACTACTATTGCTACTGCTACTATTTTAATGGTACCAAGGATTAAATAGAGGGCCTTTCATGTTCCACCATCCAGCTATACCTCCAGCCCTTTTAAATTTTTTTATTTTGAGGACTGGGAAGGTGGCTCAGTGGTAGAGTGCTTGCCTGGCATGCATGAGGCCTTGAGTTCGATTCCTCAGCACCACATAAGCAGAAAAAAGCCAGAAGTGGCTCAAGTGGTAGAGCGCTAGCCTTGAGCTGAAGAGCTGAGGGACAGCGCCCAGGCCCAGAGTTCAGTCCCCACAACTGACCAAAAAAAAAAAATTTGAATCCGGTCTAACTAGGTAACTGGCCTTGAACTTTCCATCCTCCTGTCCCATCCTCTTGAGTACTGAGATTACAGATATGTACCAGATTACCTTTTCTCAGCTTTTAAATTCTAGGATTGTGCCCAAGGCAGTCAAACCTGAAATACTCAATTTGGAAAATATTTTTCAATTTGCATTTAATATAAATGACAGGTGTTTTCAAGATTAACCCAGAATTAATACTAGTTTTTAGTGAAATGCTGTTATTTAATCTCCCTACTATTTGTCTCATTTCCATTCTAGAAATGTGTCTTCTGCGAATGACTAGAGCTAGACGTTCCCAGGTAGAACAACAGCGACTCATCAGTGTTGAAAAGGCGTTGGCAATTCTCTCTCAGCCTACACCCTCACTTGTTGTGGACCATGAGCGGTTAAAAGTATGTAAATTGAAATCATAATGCTTCCATACATACTGTTAATTCCCAAACACTGGATTGTGAACTAGAGGCAGGATGCCTGTATAGGAAGTACACAAGGAACTAAAACTTTGCTTCCTCTTAGCTTCCATTTTTTGCTCTTCTTCCTGTGTCCCAAATTAGGAATTATATCTGAGAATCTGTGGGAGGAACCAGAGGGAAAGTAGCTAAGTGATTCTGATACACTGCCAGATTTCTTGGCACCTCTCTTTCCCTGTTCATTCCCCTCCATTTGGTATTCTTCTTCACTATTCAAATAAAATAGCATCCTATAATGAGTACATTTCTTATCAAGCATTGTAGCCTCCTCCTTTGTTTCCCCTTCCCATCCCTTCCCATCTAAAAGGTAGTTTATGTCACTAAATTTGACGACATACTTTCATGTAGGCATCTTTATAGCATTTCTAAACATCTTTAAGAAATTCTATTGATTTTGTCTATTTATCATGGATCATGAAAATTTGGAATGTTCTTAATTTCCACATAATCCTAATAAATTCATCACCTATGCAAAATAAAATAAAATAACATCCTAACAGCATTTTACAGTACTGATAACTCTCCTCCCTTGATTGCCATCTTCCTAAAGCATCCTTGTCTTCATCCCTGCTCATGAGTTTCGCAGATTTTCCTTACCCTTTTCTATACTGTGTGCTCCTGCTTAATCATCACCTAGTAAAGGTGGCAATGCTGACTCTGGAATGCCCACCTTTACACTCCTCAACAGCAGTCTTCACCTTCACAACTAACACCTTGGATGTGTGTAGTTGTTTTAACATACTTGAAATAAAACTGATGTATTACCCTTTAACTTCAAACTAGAAAAAATTACATCCCACTTCCAATTTAAGCTGTTTTATTTTGGCCACATTTCAAGTCTGAAAATATTTGGATTTGTATTATATAGAACTATATATACTAACCAAAGGTATTTCTCCAGATAAAATTTTTTTTGTTTTAACATGATTGAAGGGAATCCAAGTACATGGTAAATCTGCAGGTAACAAACCAACTTGTCCAGTTGGAAATTTTTCTTTTCTCTCTTTCTCCCTCATCCCTATAGTTTTTTGTGTTTTTGTTTTTGTCAGTCATGGGGCTTGAACTCTGGGCCTAGGCACTGTCCCTCAGCTCGTAAGCTCAAGTCTAGCACCCTACCACTTGAACCACAGCGACACTTCCAGCTTTTTCTGCGTATGTGATACTGAGGAATTGAACCCAGAGCCTCATGCCTGTGAGGCAAGCACTCTACCACTGAGCCACCTTCCCAGCCATCCCTATTGGTTTTTTCCTCCTGTTTTAGAATCTGGTTCAAATTGCTTTGGTTGTCCTAAATTTTGTTTCTATTTGTGTCAGTGCTATGGCTTGATCTCAGGGTTTCACACTCTTGCTTATCTTCTTCTGTTAAAACCTAATACTCAAAACTAGTTATTGAAATAAAATTTTATATATATTTTTTATTTTTATTTATTTATTTTTTTGTCGGTTGTGGGCCTGAACTCTGGGCCTGGGCGCTGTCTCTCAGCTCAAGGTTAGCCCTCTACCACTTGAGCCACAGTGCCACATCGGCTTTTTCTGCTTATGTGGTGCTGAAGAATCCAACCCAGGGCCTCATGTATGCAAGGCAAGCACTCTACCACTGAGCCACCTTCCCAACCCTGATATATATATATATATATATTTTTTTTTTTTTTTTTTTTTAAAGCCTAATACTCTACCGCTTTAAGTCAGGTTTCCATTTCTGGCTTTTTGCTTGTTAATTATAGACAAGAGTCTCCTGGATTTGTCTGCCCAGGCTGGCTTTGAACTTTGATCCTCAGATCTCAGCCTCCTGAGTGACTAAGATGACTTAGTTGAAAAAACTACCTTAAAAAAATATATGAAGCTGGGTACCAGTGGCTCACATCTGTAATCCTAGCTACTCAGGAGGCTGAGATCTAGGCTCCGAGGTTCAAAGCCAGCCCCGGCAGGAACATCCATGAGACTCTTATCTCTAATTAGCCACCAGAAAACCAGAAATGGCACTATGACTCAAGTGTTACAGTGCTCACCTTGAACTAATGAACTCAGGGACAGCGCCCAGGCTGAGTTCAAGACCCATGACAAATCAAAAAAAAAAAAAAGTGAAATTAAAATCTCACAAATCTCATAATTATAAAAAGAAGAACTTTAGTTCACCATGTTTTGAGGGGTTAAATATAGTAATTAATTGCCTTATTAATCAGTTCTAATGTATTTTCCAGCCTTAGTTTACTCATTATTCAGGCATATCATTTAGTCAATTATAGGTAGTCATTTATTCAGACTACTTCAGCTTTTTACTTTCCCTAAGTATTATAACTGACAAAAAAAGAGGCTGTAAAAGTTGAGTATATCTATTAGACATGCAATAAATAAATAGTGACCTTTTTTGAGAATATTAACTTAAATAAAGGAGAGAATTAGTGTGTTTGTTGACCTATACTTAAATCATTGTTTTCTCACTTGTTTTCATGACCATTATGTGCAACTTTTTGTTTTTTTTGGTGGTGGTGGTGGTGGTCATGGGGCTTGAACTCTGGGCCTGGGAGCTGTCCCTCAGCTTCTCAACTCAAGGCTGTTCTACCACTTGAGCCACAGCGACACTTCAGACTTTTTCTGCTTACATGGTGCTGAGGAATCGAACCTAGGGCCTCATGTATGTGAGACAAGCACTCTACCAATGAGCCTTCTTCCCAGCCACTGTGCAACCATTTTATGTTTTGGGTTTTTTTTTGTTTTGTTTATTATACTTCATTGTGATGGCACACCATGGTAAGGCCACATTTGGATAATTGCAGAAATACAGTGAGTCTACCATTTATATGATTTTAGTCTTGAGGGAAAAAAAGATAATAACTAGAAGAAGTCCGTTTTATAAAGTGAGCCCTGAAGTGATAAGTAACTTATCATTTAAGTAGTATTTTTAGTTTTTTCATAATGGACTTGATCGTATTATGTCTATGCTGCCATTAAATACACTATTAATCTAATTTGAGGTTATTTTTAAATTTGTGTGTAGAAATTTTGGATAAAACTGAAATTGGCATCTTCCTCTGGTAGTTTTGAGAATGAAGTTCATACAGTGCAAAGGCCAGGATCACAGAATGATGGTGAAGTTAAGTATAGCTAAGTGTCAGGGGCTATCACATCTCAAATGCTTTAGTCCATTCTCTCTCTTGTCTTTTACAATGGCACTTTCCCAAACTTTTAGAATTATATTTCTTGTCTCAGAGAATTTTATCATACATGTGGAAACACTCGTGTTTTTTTTTAGGATATTTTAAAGGCTGTTGTTAAAAAAAGTGAACAATACAATATATTTCAACTGGAAAATTTATATGCAGTGCTCAGCCAGTGTATTTATCAACATCGTGGGGACTATGATAAAACCACACTTATTCAGGTAAGTTACTAAGTTGAGTGTGTGTGTGTGTGTGTGTGTATTGTCCAGCAAATGTCTCTACTAGATTTTTTTTAATTTTTAGTTATTTTTATTGTGAAAATACTGTACAGAGGGGTTACAATTACATGGGCAAGATAATGAGTACATTTCTTATCAAGCATTGTAGCCTCCTCCTTTGTTTCCCCTTCCCATCCCTTCCCATCCTCCCCCCACCCTCCCTGAGTTGAATTTTTTTTTTTTTTGGGGCCGGTCGTGGGGGCCTGAACTCTGGGCCTGGGTGCTGTCCCTCAGCTCTTCAGCTCAAGGCTAGCACTCTACCACTTGAGCCACAGCACTACTGCCGGCTTTTTTCTTTTTGCTTATGTGGAGCTGAGGAATCGAACCCAGGGCCTCGAGCATGCAAGGCAAGCGCTCTACCACTGAGCCACCTTCCCAGCCTGAGTTGAATTTTTTTTAGGAGACTTTTTCTGTCGGTCATGGCCTGAACTCTGGGCCTGGGTGCTGTTCCTTGGCTCTTCAGCTCAAGGCTAGCACTCTACCACTTGAGCCACAACGCCACTTCCGGTTTTTTCTGCTTATGTGGTACTAAGGAATCGAACCCAGGGCCTCATGCATGCCAGGCAAGCACTCTACCACTGAGCCACCTTCCCAGACCCTTGAATTTTTTTTTTAATGTTCTTTTTGCCACATAAAATATCTCTTCTATAAAATGGCAGAAGCTTGCCAGGCACCATGCCTGTAATCCTAGCTACTCAGGAGACTGAGATCTGAGGATCACGCTTCAAAGCCAGACCAGGCAGGAAAGTCCGTGAGACTCTTATCTCCAATAAACCACTAGAAAACTGGAAGTGGTGCTGTGGCTCAAGCAATAGAGAGCTCACCTTGAGCTGAAGAGCTGAGGGACAGCGCCCAGGCCCAGAGTTCAGGCCCCATGACCAACAACAACAAAAAAAAGGCAGAAGCTTTTATTTAACTGATTATTAAATGTTTAGAAGTCAGGTTTGATAACACATGCTTATAGTTTCAGCCCTTGGGAGGTTGAAAGAGGACCGAATTCTAGGTACCTTGAGGTACATAGTTCAAGTTCAGCCAAGAATACATAGTGAGACCATGTCTCAAACTATAAAAAAGGAATTTAAATGCTATTTTAATATGTGGGTCATGAATTTTTTCCTAGCTACAAGTAAGTTCATTTTAAGTTTAAATCTTCATTGATTTGTCTTTATAATGAACAATGGAATTGCCGTTTCAATGAGCTTGTATGTGCTGGTAGGTTCTCTTAAACTCAAGGCCTCCCGTTCTTGCTTGGCTTTTTCTGCTCAAAGTTGGTGCTCTGCCTTTGAACCAAACCTCCACTTCTGGCTTTTTGTTGCTTAATTGGAGATGAGTCTCTAAGATTTGTCTTCTTGAATTGATTTTGAACTGTGATCCTTAGATTTCAACCTCCTAAGTGATGGAGACTAGAAACATGGGTCACTGGTACTCCCAACTCCTGAGAATTCTTTATTTTATATGTTTTTTTTGTTTTTTGTTTTTTTTGGTAAGTCATGGGACTTGAACTCTGGGTTTGGGCACTGTCCCTGTGCTCGTCAGCTCAAGGTGAGCACTCTACTGCTTGAGCCACAGCGCCACTTCCTATTTTATATGTTTTAATGAAGATAATTATCTCTTTTTAGATAGACTTGGGCTTTTTTTGTTTTGTCGTGGGGCTTGAATTCTGGGCTTGGGTGCTGTCCTTGCACTCTTCAGCTCAAGGTGAGCCCTCTACTACTTGAGCCACAGTATCACTTCCAGTTTTCTAGTGGCTTATTGGAGATGAGTATCATAGACTTTCCTGCCGGGGCTGGCTTTGAACTGTGATCCTCAGATCTCAGTTTCCTGAGTAACTAGGATTACAGGTGTGAGCCATCTGCACCAAGCGACTTACTTGTTTTATTTATTTTTTTTGTGTTTTTTTTTTATTGTAAAGATACTATACAGAGGGTTACAGTTACATGAGTGAGGTAATGAGTACACTTCCTCTTGAACATTGTTAGCCCCTCCATTGTTTTCCCCCT